AAATGTCTGCCAGCTGTACGATAAGACACATCAACATCACGGTTATTAAGTTTAGTGGCAAGAGAACGTAATGATATCGTATTGTCATGACGAATAGATTGGCCAATAGTTTTTGTTATATTGACTGTTATTTTCTTTGGACGACCATTACCACCTCTATGCTTCAAAGTTCTAGTTTTTTTGAGCTTCTCAACATTATATCGTACAATAGAGACAGGTAACTGGGTAAGTTTGGATAGTTCAGGTACAGAACGGATGCCTTCGTTCCAATCATGAATAAGCTGTGCATCTTTTGTTCGCGAGTAATTGGTAATACTTATGAAGATTATTAACAAGTGTAGTAAATAAAACCGTTATTTAACTTTAATTCAGTAAAAAGTGGCATAGATTAAGCTAAAATTGGCGATGTTTATTTATTGTCTAATGTGATCGGCAAATAGTTGAGTTTTTTGTCACACTATACATATTTTTGTCCCACAATTTCAATCATGGTCAATATAATGATAATAAATTCCTGTCGATCTTACTTATTCTGCAAAGCTGATAATTTTAAATTCCTAACAAAGTAAATTTGCGGCCATTATGTATTTTCATCATATTGGTTTTGTGAGCTCGTTAGGTAGATCAATAGAGGCATCCTTCCCATGATCAAGATACACATTCCCGAATTGTATCTTCGACCCGTTGGGTTGCTACATGAAAACAAGTGTTGTTTGTTTTTATGTGGATATTTAGAACTGTTGAAAAAAAGATGCGTATGCAGAAAGCTATTACCGTATTTTCGCCCAGGTGTGTAATTTCGAATTTTGGCCTGAATTAAGCTTAATGCGGGCCGTGACGAGGGACCTGGTAAGATTCTGATATAAAGATATCGGTATAAACGGAATTTTGAAACAAAACGGAATAAAATGGAATAAATCGGTATAAAAGGAAATTTTTATATAAATATAAATATATATATGTATTAAAAAGTTGTTTTATAGATTATTGAATAATTATCCCTATTTCATTTGAACAAAAATTTATCGTTACGTTTATTTATGAAAAATGCCGCCTAAGCAAAAATGAATAACTGCATATAGTCGTGCACAAGATTTTTATGAAGATTTTGGTGGAATTTTATTACTCGTAGTCATTCAATTAAATGAGACGTAAAACTACTATTATTTTTCATGTTAATACAGCAAGTCATAAAAATTTATACAAATAACACAACAAACGTTCAATTCGACCCTTAGTAATATGGCACTTATACAAGAATGGGACAATTTTAAATTGAATTGATTTTGAACAAAATTTCGTATCAATTAGGAAATAGATATCAATTTATTTAGCTACCAATTTCATCATGTAGTGTTGTGCTTATAGCAAATTTTGGATAACGATAAGCAAAATCTTTTTAAAACGCTTACGATTATAAATTATAATATAATAACAATAAATATATACAGTGCGTAACAAAAAAAACCAGATATTTTATTTTTGGTTATATTCAATGAATATTTATTTAATTCATATAAAATTTTAAATA